TTTATCTCTTCTGTGGATCTTGTTACCAGTGGTCTCAGGCAGAGTTAGCCCTTTATTCCTTAGTCAATCAAATTGTGTTTTTCTTGCTTGCTAGATTCTTCTTCTAGATGGGAGAGTTCTAGAATCCAGGACCTTATCTTATTTGTCTTTTTATCCTCTGAGTTCAACACAGTACTTAATGCCCTGCATGATGATTTACTAAATTGAAAATAATTAAACTTCTAAAAACTCAGTATCCAAGTAGATGGTGATACTATACTATTATCTGACACATAGAGTCACAGATTGGGGTTTTGAGCATGTTAAATTTGAGATGTTTCTGTTAAACTTAGGAAATGCTCAGGAGATATTTGAAATCAGGAGGCTGCAGGAAGAACAGATATGAATGTCACTAGTAAACAGGTGAACTGCAAATCATGGGAGGAGCTGAGACCATGTGGACTGAGAAGAGAAGATAAGACACTAGTGACTGGTGGGCAGAGAACAAGGAAAGAGATTATACTGATAGCAATTAGTTTTCTTCCTCTTTAGTAGAATGTAATGGCCTAGAAAAAAATTTAGGGAACAGATATATTTTTAAAGGATAATCTGTGTGTATTTCTTTTTAAAAATGGGCTAATCATATATTTTTAAGAATGAGCAAACACTGTTTTCATGTACTATTCATACCTTGTCTTTACCATCCCAAAATGGTTTCTACTTTCTATGTTATAGAACATTTTTGATGTAAAAATGGCTGCAATACTAAATTGTTGCAATTTATGTTTATTGAGATCAAACAATTATTTTTTTCAAGGGCAAGAATGTAATATATTTTTGCCTCTGGGGAGGGGGGAGATGATCATTTTCATAAGAGAAGGAAGGATTCAGTCTTTCTTTGCTTGTGGGTTTCCTCTTGTTCACCTTTGATCTAGATATTGGTGGTTATGTTCCAGTCCTCCTGCATATGCCCAAGAGGATTGGGAGTGGAGTGAACAGCAGCAGAAACGCCATTTTTTCCTGTAGAGATTAGAAACAAGGAGCTTATTGCCCTGCTTGTCAAGGCTCAGGCCAGAGAGAAGGAAGAAACAAGTGTAAAGGTTTTGGTTTTGGAAAGAAGTTGGAATCTCCTGACCCTGGGACCTTAAGATCCACAAAATTGCTGAAAGAAAAACTACTACCTTATTGAAAGGTAAGATATTAAACTGTTTTAAGGTTTAAGCTATTTTAGCCACAGAAGCATATTTAATAAGGTATGAAATCAGGCAATCATTTCTCCTAAGCTGAAGTTTTGGTCACAAAATCACCCATCCAGCCTTCCTGGTGAGATAGTGACCTGTGTGGCTAGAGGGATATTTTTAGTGAGGGAGAGCTTTACAAAGTCACATTCATTTTTTAAATGACGTTTACTGAATGCCAGGCACTGTGCTAAGCCTTGGATATACAGAAATTAAGGAGTCACCCTACCTGTCTTCCAGAACTTCCCATGCAAGGGAAAGAAAACTGATGGTTATTATGTGATAAGTGCTATAATAAATAGGTACTATATGTAATAAGACTGGTCTAACTGTCTGAGCAGTAATGTTTGTGTCCTAAAAGATTAATGGGAGCTCATGAGGTTGGAAGAAAGTGATGGGCATTTGAGGTAGGGAGAATGAAATGTTCAAAGGCATAGGTATGAAAGAGCATACTGTACTGGAAGAACACACCAAATTCTATAAATTATTATCTGAATGTGTGCTATGGGCAAAAGAGGGGAGAATGATGAAGTGTTGCTATGTAAGATTGGCCAATTATGGAGGCCTTGTTGCATGCCAAGGAAATTTTAACTTACCCTATTAGCCATGGGGGTGAGGGAGGGCACTGGAGGTAAAAAACCCAAAAAGTTGTGGGACTATTTAGTTCAAAATGGGTGGAAGAAAAAGTAAGTGTATAGAATTAAAATAAGACTGTACCTATAGCTGTCTGATTGGGTCCCAATCTCTGTCTTTTCTATTTTGCTAATATTCCTGGTGTCCTTGTGTTCTTACTAGGTTGATTCTAAACTTTGTAGGTTACTGAAGAGTAGGATTTTGACGTAGACTTCCAGCCTTAAAAAAAAGTTGTTGAACATCTTTTAAAGTGTATTTTGCTTGCCTCAGTGTAAAATCATTTTCATTTTCGAGAGAAAGCTATAATCCCAAGAGTAAAAGACTCTGGTTTATTAAATGCTGTAAGAATGAGGTGGCCAGCCTTCCTGTCTCTAATCATGACCAAAACAGGATCATAAATTTCTGGTAACTCCAAGGAAAAGAAAACCATCCTAAGAGAAATCAGACTTGACCCTGAAACATTTTGCAGGAATTAGGTAGTGCCAGGACTCATTAGAGGGTCCGGAATAGACCCCACAAACCCTTTGCAGTAGAGAAGCCAGACACCAGGTACAGATTTTGGAGTTGTAGATTGCTGGAGATTTAGTTGATCATCCTGTTAGGAGAGCTCAGGACTTGATGAAATCACAAATCTAGGGACCAGCGAGAAGTGGTGTCCCTGGGGGATGATCTCAGTGAAATGCTTGAAGAGGGATATCTGCATTTCTATGGATAAGAGAACAGAGGAGCGGCTAGCCATTGGATGTAAACAGTCACATAGCAGATTTCAGTGACACTCAGAGATGTTGCTTTATACTTCAATCTGGAGGAATATGGTCGGCTGGGCAAAGGACTTTGTATAGATACTGTGCTGGAGGTCTATAGGAGTCTGTCTCAGTGTGCAGTTAGTTTCAGATCTACTTGGAGCAAGGAAAAGAATCATGTTTGCAGAAATACATTTCAAAAGGCATCTGCCAAGATTGGGAGACTGAGTTAAAGGTCAAGGATATCAGGCCAAAAGCAGAGCATTCCTATAAAATAAGCCCAAAAAGCAAACAATGGAGTGAGAATAAAAACTCCAAAAAGGTGAGAAAAGGTATCCGAAGTACTAAAAATTAGATACAAGAGATGTGGATTTCAGTCTTGAGCGCTATCTGTATGACCTATAAAGTTTTGCCATCTTTCAGTTAGAAGCTCTAGAATTATAATGCCTTATAGAAGGAATAATGGACTGACACTTGAGATGTGGCAACTGTCACAAGAAAATCTGTTTTTGAAAGAAATGGACATACAAGGAGTGAATTAAAAAAAAAACACCAGCCTGAGCTCAGCCCTTGTTTTATAACAGATAATTCTTGTATCAGCTTTCTATACAGGGCCATAGAATAATAGACCTTAAAAAGAGCTGACCCTTGAACAATGCAGGGTTAGCAGTGCCGACCGCTCTGCATGGTTGAATGTCCATATATAACTTTTGTTTTGGCTCCCCCAAAACTTAACTATAATAAGCCTACTGTTGACTGGAAGACTTATGAATAACAAACAGTTGATTAATACATATTTTGTATGTAATATGTATTACATACTGTGTTTCTATAATAAAGTAAGCTAGAGAAAAGAAAATGTTTTTTCAAATTGTCACAATTCGCCAAAAAATATTCCAGTATATTTACTGAAAAAAATCTGTATATAAGTGGACCTGTATATAAAAAAATCTGTATATAAGTACAAATCCATGTTGTTAACGGTCAATTGTCTATTTTTATCTAATACTAGTTTCTGATTTAAAATGCTAGTCAGAGGTGAAAAATATTTTTAATATAATGGATGTAAGAATTGTTAACTGAGAATGTGCTCACTCAAATTTAGAATTCTTAATAGAAAATATATAATAATTTTAATAGGTTCAAGGAAGATTTTATCTTTAGCAAACCTGTTTTAAATCTAAAAAACTGCATATTGCAGACTCAGGAGGAGGCCCTGAGCAGATCCCAGCTCCACTGCAGTAGCAAAGCACTAGGTAGAAATTTTGAAATGTCTTTTAAAAACCTGCAACTGTATGAATGTTAAATTAATTCACCATAGTTTTCATGTTGACTCAATCCCAGAAAGAAATTTTCTAGGTGAAAAAGATTTTTGTTTTTGTATTGGTTTCTGTTATTCTCAGTTACAGAGAATAATTTGTTGTGGTTTTAGTCTAACATTTTGAACACAAGACAAAATAGGTTTCCTGTGCGATTAAAAAACAAAATAGTAGCTCTTCAACCTATGTAGCTCAATGAAAGATCGGCATTTGTCTCTGTTAGAAATTGATTAAAATTAGAGAAAGTTTTAAGAAATGTTTTGAGAAATTTAAGAATATGTGAGCATTCAGAGCATTTCATAATGTTACAATTTTTTTCAACATGTTTAAGATCTGTTACCTTATTTATGAATTGAGCAGTGACAGTGTGTTTAATAGTAAAGTACTGTGTATTTGTGACATGTTTTTGTATAATGTATGTCATCTGATACTCAGAACAACCCTGTAAAATTAGAGCAGGTATTATTATCTCTATTTTACAAATGAAGGAGAGTGAGGCTCAGAGAAGCTAAAGATTCACCCAAAGACACAAAGCTAGACTTTGACCATCATACTGATTGAGTTTCCTTTGAGGTGAGCATAATTCAGTTTTGTAGACACAGACTGGCTTTGTGTGCTTTTGTTGTCTTAATGACTACTTTCAATGGAAAACTTTCAACACAAGGCTTGAAAATGATAATGAATATATATAACAGAGAGAAAAATTTTTTTTCTATCAGCTGTTATTGAGAGTAGGTGTCAGCGTGCTCTTACATATAGAAACATGACGACATCCTTATTAGCACCACAACACTGACCGAAAAGGCATGGTTAATTGTTATTAAAGTGTTTCTATTTTTCTAGGAGAACTAACAATACCCAAGAATTTGGGGAGATATTTTTATTATGCTTTGTAGCTAACATTAAAGTTCTGGAAACAGATTTATGTGTGAACAGGGATGGGAAATTTTTTGATTTTTGACATATTCAGTTCTTTTACTCAGATTAATCTTAGATAATTATAAAATTCTAGATTTGATTTAAAAGATTATAAACTAAGGCTATTTGATGAAATGTCCTATGAAATTCCATATCTCATTATTTTACAGGATGAAGAAACACGAAAAGATTATGACTACATGCTGGATCACCCAGAAGAGTACTATAGCCATTACTATCACTACTACAGCAGGCGCTTAGCTCCTAAAGTGGATGTTAGAGTTGTGATTTTGGTCAGTGTGTGTGCTATTTCAGTGTTTCAGGTGTGTATTGATGATTATGTCAAAACAGGAATGAATATAATTGCCTGAGTCTGTATCCTGTGATTTTTTTTTTTTTTGTAAACAAGTTCCTCACCAGCTAGTTTTGCCACATAACTGTTCCTCTAGTAAGTAAATTACAGTCTAAAAAGGGAGAGAGAGAGAGAGATTTCTTAATACAGTTAACCCTTGAACAACATGGATTTGAACTATGCAGGTCCAACTTACACAGAGATTTTTTTCAATAAATATATTGAAAATATGTTTGGAGGTTTATGACAATTTGAAAACATTTTCTTTTCTCTTAGTTTACTATATTGTAAGAATACATTATATAATACATAGAACATACAAAATATGTGTTAATCAACTACTTGTTATATCAGTAAGTCTTCCAGCCAACAGTAGGCTATTATAGTTAAGTTTTGGGGGAGTCAGAATTTATATATGGATTTCCAACTGTGCAGAGGGATCAGTACCCTTAACCCCTGCATTATTTAAGGGTCAACTGTAGAGATACCTAGTGAAGAGCCAAAGAGTAAAGATGTTAAATCATATGTGTGGTGCGAGTCCACTGACCTATTCTATTCTTTGATCTTGGGTATCTACTGCTTGAATTAAGGGCTTTTTGTCTCAGCTCATGGTTTACCCGACTTAGCCAGCCTTGAGATCCCATATTTACATGGGCATTATCCAACTGTATCTTTTACTTATAGAATAAAATGATTGAGGTCCCTATTTTTAATCAGAATGGGTTTTGGAGGGGCGATGGTATTCACCAAGATAAATTTTGGTAATAGAAATGACCCATTTTTCTTTGTTAAATATTCTAGTTTTTCAGCTGGTGGAATAGCTACGACAAGGCAATCAGCTACCTAGCCACGGTCCCCAAGTACCGGATCCAAGCCATGGAGATTGCCAGGCAGCAGGGGTTGCTCAGAAAAGCCAAAGAGAAGGGTAGAAACAAAAAGTCCAAAGAGGAAATTCGTGATGAGGAGGAGAACATCATAAAGAACATTATAAAAAGTAAAATAGATATAAAGGGGGGCTATCAGAAACCCCAGATACGTGATCTTCTTTTGTTTCAAATTCTCCTAGCTCCTTTTCACCTGTGCTCATACATAGTCTGGTATTGCCGGTGGATCTATAACTTCAACATCAAAGGCAAGGAATATGGGGAAGAAGAAAGACTATATATCATACGTAAATCTATGAAGATGTCAAAGTCTCAGTTTGATAGTCTAGAAGATCATCAGAAAGAAACATTTCTTAAACGGGAGCTCTGGATAAACGAGAATTATGAGGTGAGTAATTACGGTTCTGTGCTTTTACTGCCATTTTCCTTACCCATTTTAACTAGGTGTATGATAAGGGATCACAAAAGTACACTCAAAACTGAAATGCAGGAGTTAAATAATGAATGAAGATCTAATTGTTATTGAAGGTATGACTGTATTTGGCAGTGAGACAGAGGGTTTTTAAGCTGTAATTTATCTTTTCAAAAGATGACTTTTAAATACTTCTAAGTGACTGATGCTGAGAATTTTAGAAAAGGTCTAAGTTATTGTGTTAAACTGCAATGGGATGATTTTTATGTTTGCAAGTCACAACAACTTTCTGTTAATTGCACTAAGGCCTACCACAAATTTTTCAGTCATGTCAACTTAGCCATTGAGATTAAAAAAACAAGAGAGAGAGGAGTAAGAGGAGGAAGTATTACTGAAATAACTTCATTTCAAAATAAATGAGCACAGACACTTCTGCATAATAACTAACATACATGAGAGGTTACTTTTACTTTAACATTAAAGTTGGCTTCCTGTAATGCCTGTAAGCTTTGTGTATTTTAATAAATGCCTCTTAACTTTGGGAATAAACAATAACATTTAAGAAATGTAGACTAAATATATTCAACAATTGTTAGCTATAACAATTACTTGGCGGTGATCAGTTCCTAAAGGAACTATTAATGTCATCTTGATATTAAGGCTTTGGGTAAAATTAATTGGCTAATTAATGTGTTAAATAAAAGAATAAAGCAGAGTGAAACCTTAAATCTAAGATGTAGTTATTTTTTCAGTTTTATAGATATTCCTTTTTATATATGGTGTCCTAAATAGATTTTGCTGAAAGTAAAATTTCATTCTGAATATTTTTAAGTTACAACTTACTATGAATTGCCAGAATGTTTTGGCAAGTAGACATATTCAGCCTGCTTATAAATAACATAAAATGGAAGGTAAATGTACTATCTAGCTCCTAAATTATTTGAAAAGTTTTCTAAGTAGGTTAAGCAGCCCAGTCCACCAAACTGTATCTTTCATAGACTACAAAATGGGCTGAATTATCACATTTTTATATGAGGTTATCTTATTCATTACTTCCTAAAACTTAATGTGGCTGTAAAACTGGTAAAACTTGTTCATTTACCTTCAACTGGCATCCACTAACAGTTATGGAAATGGAGATGTCCTTTGTTCTTAACCTGTTCTTTAGGAACTTAAATAAGCTATTTTGAAAAGCCAATAATTATCTTTGACAATAGTAAGTTCAATTTGGTGACAGATACACACGAGGTCATTTTGTTCCTTAAGATCAACAAATACTGACAGTCATCAGTTAAATTTACAGAGTACCATGTTAAAAAAAAAGTGTGATTCTTTAATATTGGGCATTAGTTATAGAGAAGAAATGTTTAAACCTTTTGAATTCAGTTTATATATGATTTTAATGAGGAAAGACTGTATTCCCAGGTTACAGAAATTGGTGACAAAAAATTACTAGTTTTGTACAAGTTCTTTTTTATTTAACACTGAATGTTAAAATGCTTAATTGTTTAGTATTTTTAGATGCATGATCATCAGAAGACAAACCAGTACACTCATTGGAAACTTTTATCTAAGGTTATATTTGAAAAATGTCAATATGCCATAAAGCTAATGACAGATGTTTCCCTTTGGATTTTAAAGTCAGTGTTATTTATACTTACAGGTTTACAAACAAGAACAAGAAGAAGAACTCAAGAAAAAATTAGCAAATGATCCAAGGTGGAAGAGATATAGGAGATGGATGAAGAATGAAGGGCCTGGACGACTAACATTTGTGGATGACTAGAGATTGCTGGAATGCTGCGATGCCAAAACTTAATTGTGATATTATTTTCGGAACTGAATTATTTTCAAAATGAGTGGACTGTTCCACAACAGTAACTAAAATTCCTCAAGGTTTTGATTAAATAGAATAATGTAGAAATTTAAACTTTTCCTTAAGAAACTTTATACATAAGACATTTATGATCACTTTTTATAATCTATTTGTGGATTTTGTTAAAAGATTTGACATGAAGATTTATTAGTTGTCATTTAAAATTTTTCTATGTTTAGTTAAAAGATTTGACATGAGAATTTATTAGATACCATTTAAAATTTTTATGTGTTAAGTGTTTATTTTTCAAAAGTGTTTTCTTTTTCTGTTGTAGTGCTACATTTTTCTGCTTTCGTGGCCTCTATTTTCACAACACAAACAATTATAACAGCATTTAATTACATTATTGTGTCTTTCTAGACACAAACTGCTTTAGCAAAATGATTTCGACTGTCATGTCATCTTCATTACACTCAGTGTAGAATTGAAATATGTTCAAAATATCTCTCTAGGAGAGTCTTTTGCTACAATATCTTAATACTATTCCTCCCAGTCATAATTTTCTTAATAAGATCAGAAACTCTCCAGGAGAGTGAATCTACCTTCATGTCCTTGTAGGATGATCTTGATTACAGTCATTATAGGACTACAACTACATTCTCAAACATTTTTTTCATAAGAGTCCTTATAAAAAAGGTCTTTTATACCCACAGTATTGCATTCCGCTCCCCCCATTAGAAAAATGACAGAGCAGAAATAGTGTACTGATGAGTTGTTATATATTATGAAGTTATTGAGTGCTAAAAAATCCACTGTACATATGCATTTACATGCATTTTAAACCAGAAAGAAGACGTGCAAGGCTCTGTGTTGTGCTTTCAAACAATGAAATATAAATGTTTTATACATGTGGAAGTGAAAGTAATTCACACATAATTTGACTGAAGCAAGTATGATACTACAACAAAGTATCAATACACTTGCGGTAGTGATTCGATACTCCTATTGAAGGATTTATCCCATTGCTTCATATTAATAAATGGTTGCAATTTATTACAAGTTTGTTGGTATGACATTTTAAATTAAAGATTAACATAATGCTTTTACCTAATTTTATTATATATGTATTATGTAATTTTAAAAGATTAGTTTAGATAGTAGATATTCAGAGTCTGTTTTTAGCTAAACTAGTCCTTTGAGGAGTTCAGCCCAAGTTTGTGATCTATACAAAGAAGCAGGAGGGAGAGTTCCGTCCTTGCTAATACAGATAAGGCCTGCGGTGAGTTACCTGAGCTGTAAGTGAGGCCTCGGTTGCCTCATTAGAAAATTGGGGGAGGAGTTTGATTAGGGGTTTCATCACTAGGGCCCTTTTGCAGCTCTAAAATTCTGAAATGATACAATATTTATATTTTTGTAAACTTCAAATTTAAGTGTTTTATGCATCTGTTTTTTTTTTAGAAGGGTGAAGAAATTAGAGCTAAATTATAATTATAGGAAGCTATGTTTCAAACCCCATATGCCCACCCATAGATAAATCCCTTTCACAAGTGCTGTGGTTGTAGTCAGCACCCCCTATTTTAGGTTTTATTATAATATATTCAAACACACAGTAATATCTAAGAAAAGATGCATGTGCCATACATAAGGACCAAAACCTAGGCACTTGCCCCTCTGTTAAAATTTCAAAGGCATATCCAAAGGATTATATATGTTAGCATTCGTAAAGGCTGGCTGACAAAATCAGTGTGTCTCTGTATATTATTTTGCATACCTACTAGGTTGCTGCATTTCTTCCTGACTTTCTAGAAATGTCATTCCTGGAATTGCCCCCAGCAATAGCCTGTTCATTTGGTAAAAGTTCTGTTAGTTTTTTTTCAATCATGGCAACTGCATGGGTCAAGATGAATGGACTCTCCTTAACAGAAGGATTATGATTCTTCTCTCTTCTTCTCTCAGAAAAATAACTGTGCTTCAAAGTTCTAGAGTGAAGAAAGGGCCATTAGTTGTCAGAACTGTTATTCAAGTATTCTGGGTATTATTATCTTTATACTCTGCCCTTCCCTCACCAAAAAACAAACAAACAAAAGTTCCATTTTAGAAACATTTGGAGAAGAATCCTGGGTAGAGGATTCCACAATCCTACTAGTTAGAAAATTTTGCTTGTATTTCTTTTCAGGGCTATCACCATTTTCTTTTTGCTTGGCCTTCAGAGGTTTATAGCATATAGTTGTTCATTGTTGTCTGTTTATTATCACTTCATATAATTGAGGTCTGTGTTAAAATTACTCCTAGGGTTATATTCATGTCAAATGTCTTCATAACAGATCCCACTACGAACTCTTTCCTCATTGATCTTCCTTTGAATTTTTCAAGTTCTACAAATCATAGGTTGGTGTTTCATAACACAGTAAGTAGGTACCATACCTCTAATCTTGGCACTACAATTGGTGTATAGGATTTTAAAATGTTACATGAAAAAATAGTTGAAATTAGAGAATGAAGTATTTAAATGTACTATTTAATTTATGTTTAGAAAATTTTTTTTTTTTGTATCGGAAGTGCAGTAAACTTTCAACACCCAAACCTTGGAGATAATTTTACTTGAAGGGAAGCCATTATGAAGCTAAGCTAATATTCAACTAGTGCTATGACCCAAGTTGGAGGTTCTGTGGAAATTAATAGAGAATAGCTTTTATTAGACATTAATGTAAATAGATCTACTACTTTAAGACATTAAAATCAGACATGATCTCCATTGAGTTATAATTATGCATTTGAGGCAGGTAATGTTACTGAAACAAATTAGTGTATGGATGAAGTATAATTAATCTTATTTGCAAAATATGATACACTTCACACTTAAATATGGGCTAAGCCAAATCTAGAACCTAATAACTAAATACAATTTGCTTAACAAATTATTTGACCTTTGTGGTTTCCTTATCTGTGAAATGAAGGGATCTTTGTAGATAATTAGGATTTAAAATTCTATAGCTTGCAAATTCACACAGGTTTAGGGTCTGAAATAGATTAGATTGCTGGCAATTGAGAAATGTTACTACTATTTAAAAAGCCTACATAATGAGTTCTGATTATGAACTTTAATCAGCTTCCTAGTACTTACGGGATTCAGAGTGTACTTGAATCACATGGTCTTAGGTCAGCGACATACGGGATTTCTTACAGACTCCAGTTTCATTAAGGGGATAGAAGAACTTCATTTGACAGGTCTCCTTTTATAACCTGACAAAGAGCAAGCAGGATGCCGTGGAGTGGCATAGGCTTTGCAGCCAGATAGGCCAAGGTTTGGTTTTGGGCTCTGCAGCTGACTAGGAGCTTAACTTTGGGCAGGTTAAGCTCTGAGCTTCATTTTCTCATTTTTAATAGGCATACTAGCTACTTCATAGGATTATTATGAGAAATAATATTGTTAAGTGCTGCATATATTAAGTGCTCAATAAATGAGTTTCCTCGCCTTCAGAGGGAACAGGAGTCATTCTCATTTGTTAAAGTCCATGATAATAGAGTGTTGTGATTATTTCAATCCCATTTATTCTTTTAATAGGTATTTGAATTCCTCACCTTATGCAAGGTACTGTGGTAGAGTGAACAAGTGATGATGCTCTGTAGTGTTGGCACTGTTTTAAAAGCAACTGGCTGCCCCTTGTGCCTTTCAGTACAAGGTGAAGAAGCTGAGACAACTCAGGAAAGAACAAACTTTCAGAGACAACAGAGTAATCAGCTGCTTGCTAGTTCAAGGCTTACATTTACTGAAGGACACTTATTTCCTCATCTCTAAAGTTGAGGGTGGACTACATTATCTCAAGGCTTCTCCACTCTGAAGTTCCATGATCGATGAAAATCGATCAAAAATAGTCGATGAGAAGATATTGTGGTCAAGTATAAAGCGAAGCACAGATGGTCAGTCCTCCTTAATTACAAGTGGCATCTAGCCTGCTAGTCCATGCATCACTGAAGGAGGCTGTATGCTAAAACCTGGTTGTTTCAAGCCAGACTACTCTCCAAGAAGAGTGCAAAAGTCCATCATAGTGTTTCATACAGAGGTGGGCAGAGGAGGTGGGCTTGTGCGGGCTTGAGGGAAGGAGATGGGGCACACCCCTGGACTTTTTTGCTACTTCATGGCTGACACATAAAGTATACATTGTGTGACCCCTCACTGTGGGCAACCCCACAGCCACTTCTAGTTAGAATCTCATTTCTTCAGCTGTCATTGTGCTATGCAAATGTCTCTCACATCAGCATTGTGCCACTAAACATTTTTTACAGCCTAGAGGCACATGGTAGTGCAGTTGATGTAGTTTCTCCTAAGCCAAACTCATCTTTGTTCTTTACTCCTCTCATAAAACCTAGCCGTTTCCGAATTTCTGTAACAAATGTCAGTTTCAGCCCACTTGCTGCTTCAGACGCCACTGCATCCTTTTCTTTGCATTTCATAACCACCGGAAGTACTGTTGATTAACTCTTCTGAGTTTCTTCTCCTGCCTTCACAGTCCTATCAGGGGCCTCATTCCAGCCAGGCTACCAAAACGACAAAACAAAAACTTTATTGAAGTCATTTTGTCTCCCCAACTTCAGTTTTTTACCTTATTCCAGATTAATATTCCTAAAATGTCTTACCATGTGCCTACCCCACCTTTTGTCACAAACTTCTGTCTCTTTTTGAGGTTTTCTGTGACTTCCAGTTTTAACAGCTTTGTATCTTCTGTTATTCACAAGAGCCTTCTCCATTCATTCGGTCATTCCACGTGTGCGTGGCCTCCTTTCCCCTTGTTGGAAAGTTTCCCCCTGTGCTCTACGCCATCTGCAGGATAGATTGTCAAGGTCTAAGCATCACCATCTATGAAGAACTTTTTCTAATCCTTCCAGACTGTATCTTTGCTCTGAGTTCTTTGCTACATCTTTTTGACACATGACCATTCTTAGTAATTTAGTAATGTTTCTAACATGTACTGTCATCTTTTGACTAGAATATATGTTAAGTTATTTGTAGTGAGGGAACTTAACCACTAAAGAGGGCTTTAAAATTTGCAAATCTGCTCTTCTTACAGATAAAAACTCTTAACACCCCAAATACTGAACATAGAGCTCACAAAATGAACAGAAATGTTCAGCCTTAACAGTTGAGACATTTAAGAGACTTGTGAGGGTGTAGAGCAATAGGCAGCCTTTGGTGGGAATAGCAGGTGCTACCACCTTCTAGAAGATATAGTAGGGAAATGTTTTTAAAACTGTTTATATTCTTTGATTCATCAATTCCAATTTTAGGAATGCATCCTAAGGAAGTAAAACAGACACGCACAAAGCTATATGTTCAATAGTGTTAAATAGGGCAGTAGGTAAATAATGATCTAGTACAATGGAATACCATGCAGTCATTAAAAATAACTGATGCAAGGTGTATTTGTTTTTGCCTCTGGCCCCCTTCTGGTATCAGCATCCTGGTTTTCCTTTGGGGCACCACCCCACTTCCCCTTAAGTCCATGTGGATTAGGTTCCCCAGAAAAACAGACTCTGAGCTGGAGATTTTCATGCAGCAAGTACATTGGGAGTGTTAAAGTCAAGATCCGTGGGGGAGTCCAGGAAGTGGAGATTGGGCAGAGGGAGCTGAACTGTGAAGTGGTTGCCGTAAAGGCCTCAGATGACCCCAGGTCCTCTGGAGCTGGGGTCACTCTTAGATGTCCCAAATTGAGGCAAGGGCTTTGGGGTTCAGATCTTATACACCCCACATCAATCACTGAATGAGAGCTGACCCTGGAAGGGGTGCTGGGCTAAGGATAGAGAGGGACTTGGCTGCGAGGCATCACCTGCCGCTACTCCCAGCAGCTGGGGGAATGAGTGGCTCCATCCCAAATGGGGAAGTTGGGTGGTGCACCAGAGCACCCACAAGTGGCAGAGCTGACCCTACTCCTCACCCTGTCCTTGGCAGGTTACAGCTAATCTAAGTGGTCCAACTCGACATAACCCTTGCCTTCAAACAGCAATGGATTCAGGGGTGGGCGCAGACTCAGTACCATCAGTAAGATCCATCATGGGGATTTTCTGCTAGAACAGTTAGAAAGAAAAGGGGTGCTCTTGCTCTTGGGTTTGCTAGGCTGGGACACTGAAAGCATGGAACTTCCCTTCACAACTCTAGTCTATTTACTACTGAAGGAAATGATGCAGTACAGAAAAAGCAGAGCCAAGAAATGGAAAATGAGAGCCCTGAAGCAATTAAATCCACTACCTTAAAGTCCCTAGGCTTTAAGGCACACAAACCAACATAGCACCTTTTTGCACTATTCAATTCAATGACAAATAACAATGGGGGTACAAGAATAAGGAAATATTTGTAATACATTAAGCTGGGGGGAAAAAAACCCAACACAAAAACGTGTATTACACATAGTAATGATGCCAGGTTTGTAAAACAAAACTAATGTACACACGCAAAAAAAGTATGCCTCACAATAGACACAACGGTTACAGTTGAATGGTGAGATGGGAGTGAGGGGACTGAATTTAATTTTATTCTACAGGCTCCACAGAGATGTCAGGGGCTGGGATTTACTCTGCGTACCTTACTTACCCTACCAAATGCACTGGCAGGATTCCCAGCAAGCCACAGGCTGACTTACAAACCTGCTACTGTTTCGCGGAAATCCTACCAGTTGTCACTCATCTTCAGGAGAGTGGCACAGCATGTGGCACAGAGGCCTTCACGACGCGAACCCTTCTTTCTCCACCTTATTCCCACCTCGGCCCGGGAATCGGAGGTGCGGGCAGGAACGCGCCCCGGCCTCGCCGTCCCCCGGGCCGCCCCCGCTCCGCCCCGCCCCGAGGCCCGGCTCTGCCGCGCGGACGGGCGCCCCTCGCGGACCCCGCCACGCGGCTCCGGTTCCGCAGGCTGACGCCGGGTTCTCTGTTTAGACGCAGAAAGAGTGAAGGAGGCGTCAGTCCGTTCGGCACCCCAAACTCGCTTACCCGAGGCGCGGGGAGCGCACGGAAGGCGGGCGGGCGTAGCTGCTTCCCCGCCCCGGGGCGGCGCCCAGGCTTGGGCTTCGCGGCCCCCATCCCGCCCCGCCGCCTGGCCGCCCGGCGCCGCCGCCATGTCCTCCGGGGCCGGCGTGAACGCCCTGCAGCGCCTGGTGGAGCAGCTCAAGCTGGAGGCCGGCGTGGAGAGGATCAAGGTGAGGCGGGCGGCAGCGCCCTTCGCCCGCGGGGACCGGCCGCCCCACCGCCGCCGCCGAGGCCGGGTGAGGAGCCGCTGGCCGCCCCGCCGCCGGGCGGGGGCTGCTGAGCGGGTGGAGCTCGAACGGGGCGGCCGGCGCGCGGCGGGCGGCTGTGAGGACGGCGTGCTCGGCCCCGACTCGCCGCATGGCCTCGGCGGGGTGGGAGCCCCTGCGGGGCCTGCCGGGACCCAGGCGCCCGGGAGAGGCGGGCCGCGGAAGCAGGCCGGGCCTGCTGGGCCCGCGGCGAGGCGCCTGCCCCGCGAGGGTGGCCGGGCCGAGTGCCCGGGGCGCTTCCGTTTCCGTGGCGCACAGGGCCTCGGGGTCGGGGGCGCAGGGCGGACGCGAGGAGACAGGAGCGCGGGGAACGCGCTGGCAGCCGGGCCTCTGCGAGTGCGGGAGGGTGGAGTCGAGATGCGGAGGAGGCCGAACGGCCGAGCTTGGCGGTGACGGACGCGCTGCGAGGGGACGGGGAGACGCGGCGCTCGCGGGGCTGCGAGGGGACGGGGAGACGCGGCGCTCGGGGGACGGCATGGAGGGCGCGGCCGCCCGCTCCGGGGGAGAGCGGGGCCGGGGGCTGGATGAGGGCCGCCTCGGAGGTGCGGCCTTGGAGGAGATACTCAGGAGGTGCCGGCCGCAAGGCCTAAAACCCAGACATCAAGGCTGACTCGTCATTACAATGTGTGCGCGTGAAGAAAGTGCGACAGTGAAGAAAGAGACCAGAGCGTTGCGCCCAGGGACCAGCCGGAGGTCAAGGCCGAGAGAGGGGGGGAACCAAGGGCAGGGAAGGATGCTGGAGCAAGAAAGGAGGGGTTTTCAGAATTTGGGGCTGAGTCAACGTGTGCAGTGTTTAGCCGGTTAAAAAGCATCTGTTTAGCTTTTTAAAAAGTTGGGTTTAGCAACGAGCATAGTAGCACTATTTGCAGAATGTGTGTGTGTGAATGAACACTGCCCAGCTCTCCAGGTGCCTCAGCAGTGCCTTTGCTCTGGACCTGGCATGATGCTGGGTACTGACAATAGGGTGATTCTAATGAGGAAGATAAACCATAAACACATTACCAGTAAGTAAAATAATTTCGGAAAAAAAGTGATGTGAAGATTGTAAAACAGGGTAGAGATGGAGGGCATGCCGAAGAGGTTGCAGTAACGTGTAGCAGTAGAAGCAGAATCTGGATTGCAATAGGGTAGGAAAAATTTTTTTAAAGAAATTGGTTTTAAAGAGGAACCAGCGTTTTCTTTTTTAAATTTAGGAAGTGAGAAAGCCATATTTTGAGGTTGAGGGGAAGGAACAAACTATTTTTAGGTTGATGGGAGGAAGAAAGGGAGAAGGAGAATTGGAGGTGGAGAAGCCGGGTGTCTGTCTGCCGGGGCATGCGCGTGGAGGGGCACCTTCCCAGACAGGAAGAGAGGAGATAAGGGCGTATGTAAAGACAGATGTTTCTAGATATGGGCCTGAGGACTTGTGTGATGGCAATTTTCTTTGGAAAATAGGGGACCAAGTTTTCTTCGAGGGCAGGGGAAAGGGAGCTAGTGAGTCACAAAAGCGGAGCGGAGGGGAGAGAGTGCTGCTGGGAATGGGAGATGAGACCCAGCTACTATGAGATTGGAGACTGATTGCCTACTTGTGTGTGTATTTTTCTCCAGCAGCATTTGGCCACCCAGAAATGTGAGTACCTAAGGTGAATGGTAGTTGATCCAAGTAGTGGGTTAGCAAGGGAAGGATGCCAGAACAATGGACGTGGGAAGGGAGGGCAAGGACTCTGAGCGTCTGGGCAGAAAGAGGCTGAACCTAGGCTAGATAGAGAAGGAATGAAGCCAGCCTCCTGGTGACGGTCAGGATAAAACCAGAGGAGGTGTTCTTCCAGAGGCCAAAGAGCAGGTATAGCGAGAAGAAAGGAAGCAGCACCCTGGGTGGGTAGGAGAAACTGTGGTCAGAAGGTAGGCTGTTGGAGTGTGCAGTTTTAGGGGTGGAGCGGTTACAGGTGTTGGCTGTAACTGTTGGCATTGAGGACAAGGTTGTTTGAGGAGAGGAGGTCAGGGAACTGAAACTAGGCCTTTTGCAAATGTTCAAGATACCGGGACCTGAGGTGGGGAGGAAAACTGTGAGCCGGCTGCTTGTCTTCCGTGTGAAATAGCTAGGCAAGTTATTCTTACCTACACTTAAAAATAGTCACGGGTGATAAAACTGAGATCCAGAGATTTCAAGTGAATTGCTCAAGGTCACATAAATAATAAGCTTATTTTGGGGGTGTCTTCATAGTAGTATGGTTTGGGGTGCTTGGTGGGGTGTAACTCCGGCGAAATGAAATCTCGGAGCAAAATACCTCTAAAACCAAAATCAGCCAAAAGGAGAAATAAAGTTTAAACCCCATTTATTGCTTACAAACTGTGGTCTGGGGCCATTTCTTTTTCCTGCTCTGGCAGAAGCAAGCAAGACCTCCTCCCAACCTCTCAGGTTCAGGTAAGCCCTTGGACCCCCAGGTAATTACCCATTGATTTGGAGATGGCCTACTTTTCTCCACCCCTTACGAACACCTGTTGATATGAGATGCACTAAAGCCATGAGATATTCTGGAAATATTACAATTTTACCCACACAGGGCTTCTCTCAGGCAGCACCTTAGGAAATCAAAACATTCCAAGTCTTGGTCTGCCTGATTTTAGGGCTCACCGATGGATGGATGTTCCCACCACACCCAAACACATCTTCTCTTTGACAGACTTGATCACTGGTAAATAAAGAACAAACAAAGAATAAGCAAGGACACCATTTTATAGTATACATAATGGAGGGCATCCCTTGCTAGTGGTCGGAATGCTCGATAGCCTTCCAAGGACCTCTTCTTTGCTTTGAAGAAGTCTCAGAAATCGCTGGATGAGCATGTGCTCAAACCAAGGAGTGTGATTTCGGTAGGATTATTATTCCCCCTCCAGCGGTAGGCGACAGCTTCCAAGTGTTTGCATTTGTATTCTCCAGAGCAGAATCTCCCTGGAAAGTGCTGGAGAAATGCTGAACACCGTTACTCTTCTCTTATTTTCTCTGTGTATTTCCTCACCATAACTTTTTGACCATGTTCTTTAGGCTAGGGTCCAGTTAATCCCATTTCTTCAGGAGTCCTGGGAGTCTTCTACCCCGTATGCATGGTGTTCAGCTGTTACCCCTGATGCAGATATAGTAATAATCAGCATAATCGGTTCAAAATTTCTTTTGAATTAATAACTGTTATATATCACCATTAATCCCAATTATAATTAATATGAAAATGTCAGAACTTCTATAATGGGAAAAGTAGCTTAGACATTACTTTGATAATATTGTGTGTTTATATAACAAACTGGTATTACATTAACAAAACCAAAATTCCTAACATATTCTAGAAACTAGATTGTAACTGTAACATAAGGATTTGATTTTCTAGTTATTGGGAAGCTTGGAAAATTAACACAAATTAATGATAATACTTGAATGGCAACTGGAACCATTATTGTACAATATGGGTGAGATTTTATATAAAATACCTGTTCAATGGAAGAAAAAAAAAGAAAGTGAGGAAAGCCTCCACATGGAAATATGCCTCATAGTATTGTATCAGTGCTGCCTGATAAACTTCTCCAAAACTCGAAACATGTATTAACTCACAATTCTTAGATCAGCAGTGTGATCAGCTATTTTCCTGCTGATCTTTGCTGGGGTCTCCTGTGCGTCTGCAATCAAATGGAGGCTTGGCTTATTTGAATGATCTGGGTCGGCCTCACACATGTCTGGAGGCTGGCAGGCAGGTGGTTGGGGGCTGGCTGGCTGGTTCTCTTCCACAAGACCTCCATTTGGCTAACTTGGGCTCTTTAGATGTTGGTCTTAGGGTTCCAGCCACAGCAAGAGAGTAGCTGCAAAGGCTCTTGAGTCATAGGCTTCAAACTTGCCCATTATTTCTGGTCACATTCTCCTGCCCAGATTCAAAGGGCGGGTGAAGACTCTAGTTCTTGATGGGAGGAGCTGGACAATACTGTCACCATTTTTGCCGTCATCTGCCATGGAAGTATTGCTGTGTGTCAGCACTATTCTAAGTGTTTAATCTTCATTAACTTAATTGTCACATCAACTCAGTGAGATAGGTACTCTTACTACATTTCATAGATGAGAAAACATGTTCTGAGAAATTAGGTAACTTGCCCAAAGTCTTACAGGTAGTGATAGAGCTGAATTTAAGTCCAGGCTGTCTGGTTCCAGAGGCCACACTCTTAACCAATAAACTATCATGCTTCAAAAGCATGGTGGAGGAACCTTGTCACTTGTTTTGAGCAGACATGATAAGGCTGCAGCTTTGTAAACACTGAAACAGTTGGCAAACCTGGATTTATCAATGCATGCTTTATAAGTGAACATTTCTAAAGGGAACACTAGAATGAGCTATTTTTACTAGTTGTTTCAGAACTAGGATTCTTAAAGGATCAAAGATAGAGCTTTATCTTAACTTTATTGAATAAGCAACTAAACAAAAAATACCGTACAGTTATAAAAATTGTGACCTTTCCTCTTTGGAGTTCAGTTATTAGAGCTTCCAGCAAAATAGAAACTTTTGGAGGTTGCAGAAAGTGTGACCATTATCAGGTTGAATGATCATTTTTCGGAATATCACATGGCTGCTGGAAAGATCTGGCTGTGAGCAGCCTGTCAAGCTGTTGTCCCTTTGTGTCAGGTGTCTCAGGCGGCTGCAGAGCTTCAACAGTACTGCATGCAGAATGCCTGCCAGGATGCCCTGCTGGTGGGGGTTCCAGCTGGAAGCAACCCCTTCCGAGAGCCCAGATCCTGTGCTTTACTCTGAAGACTGGTGAGTAAGGATACACCATGCCAGGTTGGGGCCATGGCATTATCACAGGGCTTCCCAAAAGACTTGGGCAACTTTGTTTTGAATATTTAGTCTATTGCCTCTTTGGCACTAACTTGTGAGATGCTAATGTCCTTATGTCGTTGAGCTCTCTAACTGAGTTGGTTGATGGTAACTTCTGGACCTTAATCTGCCTCGCCTCTGCCCTCACACCATCCCAGAGTTGTGATTTGCTGCTTGGTGCTATCAGCTGACTTGCTGCTCTTGGGACTGAGGACTCCCCAGAGGAGAAGACCTGTTCCTACCACCAGCTGATTTCTTTCCTAGTGGCTTTCAGAATATATCTGTTTTAATGGAGGAAGAAATGTAGCTACTGGGGAAAAGTGTGAGTAGGTTAAAAGAGCTTTAAACATGGATTGTAGAAATGAAAACACCTCTTTGGTGGCATATTAGAAATTTTATGGGTTCTAATGTGTTATATGGGGTCTCATTCACAATTTCACCTTTTTGGGGGAAGAGGTCAAGGCATAGATTATTAGAGTCTTGGGACCAACATATTTCAAATTATGTTTTATAAGGGGTGTTCATACAGTTATCATCTTAGATCCTTTTTCATATACTTGCAAAAGGAAATTATTCACATTAACAAGAAGGAAGTAATCATACTACTAGGTACTATTGTACCATTTAATGGAAAATGTCTACATTAATGGTATCAAATAATTGTCTTATGCTGGCAAAGCACTTTCACGGATGCTACTTAGTTTTTGTATTAACCTTACTCTCTACCTTGAGAACTAAAATCACCCATGAAATGATGACTAGTTAATTGTACATATAAATGTTACTAAAGTGAAAACCTACCGAATTCTCTTTCCAATAGGGAAGAAGTTCGCTGAGGAATGCTTTCAAGTGCAAAGTGATGAATAGGACTCCAAATCTCAAGAAAACATTTTCTCTAGCCAAACGACTTTCAGATATTTCAGACCTTTCCTGTGGCCTGATCCCGTAGCCAGAATTCTACAGCAGTTGATGAGTTTCTACTCAAATAAGGAAACTGGATGAAAGAGTAGACTTTAATGACAATGGCCTGGTTCTTTTATGTGAAGTGCTTTATGTGTAAGACAAACAAAAATATCACTAAACACACCAAAATACACCTCTTTCATAAGTGAATAACTAGTGTTTCTATACCTGGAATATGTGTGTTTTATTTACTGGATGTTTACATTTTGGGAAGGGAAACATTTTCAGTTGTTAAAAAATTGAATATTTATAATTTGTTGTTCCTAAGATTTTTTATAACATAACAAAATATCTTTTCTCATGAATTTACAACTTCAAAATAAAGACAAGTGCGTACATAATTGGGGAAGGAATAGGCTTTGTTAATCAAATAGTATCTTGATTTTTCTGAATGAGATTGTTTTATTTTTAACACTAAACGTGGGCGCTGTTTGTTAGCAAACTTACTTGGAAAGGTTAGTGTTGTGTGGTGTATTAGATTGCCCTATCCTGTGTATGAAGCAGATTTGATCTCTGTATTCTTAAATTCCTCGATAGTTCTGGTTGTAATTTTTAAAAAATGCTACATTATTTCATGTCTTTTAAAAAAAGTGCTTTAATGGGATGGATATACAGAACTTTGCAAATAATTAAAAACAAAGTAATGAGAAAATAGTACAACCTAAATACATTCTTAATGTCACAAGTGTTTGATGATGTGCCTTTGATTTAATTTGGAACACTTTTCAAAGGATACTTTGTGTTTGTAATAATCTTTGAAGAGCTTGGAAATAAAATTTCTGCTTAATTCATCATTTTCTGCCATAGCAACATTTTGTGTCTGACAAAAAATCATTTTAAAGCTTTATGGATTTCTGTTTGCTTGTGATATTGAGTGTTGGAAATGGGAGGTGAGTTTTTATTTGTAAGTCCTTGTAGAATTTGTGAAAAACAGGTACATGTGTAACATGCAGAAATCTCTCAATTACTGGTGACATTTGTTCTTGAAATAGCTGTGTGTAAATCCATAAAGAAAGAAAGAAAATACCTTTGAGCTTAAGTAGTGTTACAATAGAGAATATAGAAGGGACTCCCTTAACTGGCCTCTGACCTGAATTCCTGGCATTCAATTACAATTCAGGTGTTCCTTTTCTAGCCCCTCTATTTGTTCCCTGAATCTGTTTCACCTTCTCTGAATGTCAGTTATCAATTTTCCTTTCTCTCCTTAATCTTCAATTTCTCTACTGAGTCCTTTCTCTCAGCATTTAAACATTCCATTCTCCATCTTAATAACAATAAGCACTAAAAAAATACTTCCTTTAAAAAACAAATTTCAGTTATACAAAATGAGTAAGTCCTAGAGATCTGTACAGCACAGTGCCATGGTTAGTAATACTGTACTGTATACTTAAACTTTTTCTAAGAGACTAGATTTAATGTTAAGAGTGGTTATCATGGAAAATAATAAAGGGCAGGAGGAAACTTTTGGAGGTGAGGGATACGTTTATGGCATAGATGTAATAATGGTTTCATAGGTGTATGCTAATCTGCCAACTCAGTTGTGTGCATTACCTATGTACAGACAAATAAAATCTCTTGTTTCCACTTCCTCCTTTGGCACAAACTCGATAAGCTAGTGCAAGAAAATTAGAGACATATTACTTATGAATATACCTGTATATGTCTTAAGTATAAGCAAATCGAATCCAGTACTATTTCAAGAGATGATAACAACCTGACAAAGCCAGTTCAATGTAAGCAAATCTGTCAACATAATTCATTACATGAATGGTTTAAAGAAGAGAATCTATGCCAACAAATCATTTGATAAATTTCAGTAGCTGTTGAGAATAAAAACTAAGTGGATTAATGAAATAGGAAGAAAAAAGAAAGATTATAAAGGCAGTTTATCACAACCAACAGCAAATTTCATACTACGTGGTGAAATGTGGAAGCATTCAGCAGATGAGGAACAAAATCAAGAGTACCTTTTATATCATCACTATTACTCAGCATTGCTTTGGAAGTCTTAATTAATGCAGTAGATGAAAAAATAAAATGATATAAACATTTTAGAAGAAATAAGAGTTTACATAATAAGGTTATGTAATTGTACACTTGGAAAACTCATGCAAGTATAGGAAATAAATATTTGAATTTGGAAGGCTGGTTGGATACAAAATATAGATAGAAAAATAAAAAGCATCTATATTGGCAGTAGCTAGTTAAAAATGGAAATGGAAACGAGTTCATTTCCACTTAGTGATAAAACTATAAAAAATAATTGAGAATATTAACAACAGTGCAAGAGTCAAAAGGTTTTATTGATGTTTATAGAAAACAGGGTCTAAATAAATTTCAAGATACTAAGACAATTTCATTAAAATAAAGTCTTAGGAAAATTCATTTATTAATTTAATGGAATTCCTATTTTATTTTTTGAGGGAAATGGATTAAATTTTCTAAAATTTCATATGGAAAAATCAAGTGTCCAAGAATAGTTTTTAAAACTGTGTGTATGTCTATGAAATATGGGAGGTTGAAACTTGTATTACTAGATATTAAAACTTACTTTGAAGCTGCTGAATAAAAACTGATTTTTTTTTTAAAGTTTTTAAAAAGCCCCCAAGTAATCAATATTGTTATGTTATAGGAATAGGCAAAGAGTTGACTGGATCATTATAGTTCAGAAGTAGGCTCGACTTTTTTTCTGACAGTCAGTGGGAAAGTATGGCTTACCTACTAAATGGTGCTGTCATTACTGGCTATCCAATTGGAAGGAAATAAAATTGGGCCTGTGTTATACTATGTAAAGAAAATTCCACATGGTCAAAGAAAGGTAATACAAAGCGTTAGAAGAAAATTATGAGAAGAATTGTATAATTTTAGGGTAAAAGAGGTCTTCCTAAGCAAGGCAGGAGACCCAGAAATAAAAAAAAAAAGTGTATACCTGATTGTCTTGCTAATGGGTTTCAGCCCCGGGCAAGTTCGCTATGGATTCAGTGTGACCAAAGAAATTGACAGCAAAACGTTCTTGGGGTGAAAGGGTTATACCCAAGTTCATTTCCAGGTAGCAGGTCAGTCACTAGAACCCCATTCACTCAGAGCGAGTCTGCAGGCAGCAAGCTGGTCTCTGCCTCTGGGCCCCTCTGCACAGTCGTCCTGCACAGTCGTCCCACACAGCCGGCCTCTGTCCTCGGTGCTGCCACCACTCCAGCCTCTGCTCTGCTCTCCTGCAGCCTTGCAGCCCTGCCACCGTGTCGTGCCCAGAGCACTGGGCAGAGCTCTTTATATAGAGTCAACAGCCATGTATTGCCTACAGGTGTGCAGTGAGCCAGTCAACCAGGGCCAGGAGAGAATCCTGGCCACAGGAACTCTCATTTTATCCACACTGACTGTCAAATTAAATAAATAATTTAACAAAGTATTGAATTAAAAATTCCTTTTTTTCTGGTAAAGTGCTGTTTTTTAATTTGCTCTTGAATGTGTAGGTCCTTTTGAGATCAGTGAACTTTCACCTTACAATATTCCTCCCCTGTGCCCCTGACCACTTTGGATCCACTGGCCACTTCTAGAAAAGCCCTATGAACTCTCCCTAGATATCCAAGGGGTACAGCTTGAGGAATGGGCATATAGCTCAAAAAGCAGCACCAGCTACAGAAGGCTTTCCCCAAAGCAACTCAGTTTGACCTGTAAGTTGCTTTGTCCCATCTTGGCCATGAATTCTCAGCTATGTCCTACCCACATTATTCCCTTGCTCCCCATGTGGTAAAAGTTTTAGAGTTAGAATCACAATTACCATCTTTAGAACTGAAGAGCCTCTGAAAGACCACTGTTTTCAATATTCCCACCCAACTTAATAGATGGGGAAACTATATCCAAGGTCACACAGCTCATAATTAGCAACACCAAAGTTGTGGTGTTCTGCATCTCAAATCAGATATCTTTCTCCCCTACCACCAAGAAAACCACCACCTGCCTTCAGCTGTAGGAACAACTGGAGCAAGCAGGCAGTCATGATCAGTACAGATGAGAAAGACCTGGCTAGAGGCCAGCTGACCCTGGCTGATCCCCACACAAGTAATGAATCCCAGCACTTCTCAGTTTTCCCATCAGAACGTTGGCAGTGACAACCACCCTGCCAGGATTCTCCTAGCTAGCAGTGCTGAAACATGGAGGCGTGTTTACCCATGACCCCAAGCTCCTTACCCCTGTGACTAATTGTAGGGGAATCGTGATGAAGAGCGGCCTGCCAGCGTGGCAATACCGTTTACCAAACTGCTGCTTAATAAGACCCAACCCACACACTTAGGCTGATTTAGAATGGAGCCTCTTAGCAAATGTGGCTAAAATCTGCACTGGAAGAGACAGAAGGAAGCACACCCAGATGTCCTCCCAACAGAGCTCATAAGCATGCTTGGCATGAGGTGAACTGAGTCCAGGAGAAGAAACAGACTCTGGGAAAACACACAGGGTGGGGAGCAGAAGCTGCTGTGCGCCCTCCTGCCTACCTAACTCCTGACGAGACCACAGAAAGCTACGGATGTGTCCCCATCAAGATTTCAAGGAAGGCACAGCCTGTGCAGCTCAGAGGTAAGACGATAATCCAGGGACTTGTGGGTCTTAAAAGCCAAGAGAAAATAGAGTGTCTCAAACAGGAAGTGGGGGAGAGTGTGAAATGCTGTACAGAGTTCAAGACAGTTGAGGACTGGAAGGTATTCATTTGATTTGGCAACTGGGTGGTTACTGGTGACATTTATGAAAAACTACGGAGGACTGAAAATGACAGAAGAATCAATGACAAAGATCCTTGTTTAAAGAAACTTGGCTAATGAGGGAAAAATGTAAGAGGCAACAGACTAAGAAATTTTGTTTTAATCTTGGGGAGATCTGTGCTTGTTTGTAGGCTATGTGAAGGGAACCAATGGAAAGAGGTTGAAGACCCCAGGAATGGGAGCAGTGGGATAAGTGATGGAATAAAGTCTTAGATGGCACACAGCAGGATTCAAGAAATAGGGTGCCGGACAGGGACTGGAGGGAAGGAGTCGAGGTGTACAGACAGACAGGTGGGAGGGGAAAGGAGCAAGTGCCCAAGGAAGTTCTTGCTTAAGGGTCTCTCTTCGGCGCAGTGGCAATGAGGCCAGTGATTTGCTGAGAGCCAGGATGGAGGCACGGACAGAAAGCAGAGTCACAACAAGTCAGAGATAGCCAATCAGTGCTGAGAGCCCAGCTGAGGCTGTCAACTATGAATCTCTCATGTTTAGCAGCCCAGGAAGAGGAAGTAGCAAATAAATCAATAAAGAAAATGGAGAATGGTCGACAGTTTCACCAAAAGTTGGAGGGGATGAGAAGGTTCAGAATGTTGATAAAAATGTCAGTGCCTGGTGGGGCCATGGGTTCAGGCTGGGGAGAGGAAGTCTGGGAGAAGACCGAAAGGGAGATCGGAGAGAGCTGAGGGCGTAGAACTGGGTAAAGAAGCAGGTGATCTAAGTAAATGGCACGGAGAGGGTGGGAGAAGAGGAGCACAGGGGTGGGGATCCAGGAGGAGCCACGTCTCAGTTCACAAGTTCAGAAGTGAAGGCTGTAGAGGTGACATCATGGGGTGAGACAGGGAGCAGAGAAGAGCCCAGGGACAAACAAGGAGGGGCCTAGGTCTTAGGAGCAAGGCGAAGACCTACTGCCAGAAATGGGTATATGGAGCCAGCCTGCTGGGACTGATGGCAGGCCTGCGTGGAGCAGAGCCTAGAGAGGGTCTGGTGGCTGTTGCTCAGGGAGCAGGTACCTAGAGAGAGTGTGTAGTTGGCAGTTGCTAAAAGGAATGGCCAAACCACCCATATTTTGGAAGAGTGCTCTGCCAGTTCATCTTGCACCAATTTTTCCATGAAAATCCCCTTTTTACCCACTGAATCTACTCCACTCTTCTGTTCCTCAGCACACACAGGGAGCCCAATTTCTCCCCTAGAATGGCGTTCTATACTGCCAGAATCCAGAACTCATTGTATTTCCATTTCATGACTTTGTCGAGGGCCAAAGGACTCGACTAACTTGAAAATGAGGCCATTATAGGAGTAACTCAAAAGCAGGACTAGCTCAAATGTTAGCAAAGAGCCACTGAAGTCTGTCACTCAACTAGTAGCTTCTTAATTTCTAAAAAGTTATGTACCTAACAAATGGTGCTGGCATTATTATTGGCTGTCCATTCGGAAGGAAATAAGTTTGGGCCTGTGTTATACTATGTAAAAAAAATTCCAAATGGTTAAAGAAATGTAATACAAAAGTATTAGAAGAAATTTTGGAGAATTATGTACCTTTAGGGTAAAAGATATCTCCCTAAGCAAGGCAGGAGACCCAGAAATCAAGAAGTGTATACCTGATCATACCAAATTAAATTTAAATAATTAAACAATTTAAATAGTTTAACAAAGTACCAACTTAGAAACTCTTATATGACAGGAAATCATAACAAACCAAATAAAAAAGCAAAAGAAAGAAAAACAAGTATTTTTTTAGCCCTCATTGTGTATTGCCGGTTGGCACTCTCTACCCACTCCACCCAGGCTATCCCGTTCATTAAAATGGTTGGATCCTTTATTTTAGAGTGGACTTATCTGGGGAGAATAATCAGGCTCCTAGCGTGAGAGGCATGGGGTGGGCCACCTTGGTGTACAGAGTCTCAGTGGCAAGGGAAGGAGTATCGTCCATCCATCCACAGTTAGAAGGGACAGCTGATGTTCTGGTGAGGCCTTCAAAGTTTGGGCTGGGCCTAAGAACTTGGGGTAAGGCTGCTCAAAAGCCTACAAAGGAGTATCGCTATCATCAGCAGTGGGTCTAAGGGCAAGAACTCCCCTTAGAATGTGAAAAACCTCATAGGGAAATGCCCTCAGGAAAAGAACTAAAGTTTTCTTTGCAAGGATGTTGGGCTGCTTCCAAACAATTCCATATGATGGGGCTTTTGGGAGAGGATCTTGGAAGCTGGACTGACACTTGGTCTCCTAACAAGAGCCTATCTAGACACTTCAAGCTTCTCCTTATGGACCAGCCCAACCAGTAACATAACAGTTGTTCCCTGAGAGTGCTCTGATGTTGCAGAGCTCACATCCTTTATCCTTGCACCGAGGTTCCCAAAACTAGACTTGTCACCCAGTAGTACATCTGATGGACAGCAGCATTAGAGAACCCCCCCTTCTCCAACTGGCCCAGGCAGACTGTGTGCATGAACAGCAAGCCTTTCTGAGAAGTGCAGCAGGACTCAGATGCTTGTACTCCATTTGGTGGTAGCTTAGCACAGGGCTGGCCGAATCTAAGGCCTGTGAAGAGACTCCTCTCCTGTGGCGTCTGATTATAGAAGGGATAAAGGAAATCTGCAAGCTGGCCTCACCTTGGTTTAGGAGCAATCCTGCGAAAACTTAGAGAGTAAAACAAATTCCAATTAGATTTCCAGAAATAGTTGCTCTTTAAAGTCTCCACCCCCTACATACCCAAGTGAAAGTGAACATTAAAATATAAAAGTGGAGTAGAAAGAGGAGAGTAAGAGGCAGTACAAAGTCGAGTTAAGCCTGATTCAAAAAGGAGGATGTTATTAGGTGTCGGACACAGCAGAGAGGTTCCCCTAGGTGATGTCTCAATGTCCTTTGAATCTGAGAAGGTAGAGGTCAATTTTAGTTAGTAATAGGGTAATAATTTCAAGCCAGAAAGGAGTATGTCTGTGGTCTTTGATTGTTTTTTTGCTTGTGTACCACATAAAATTATGTCAAAAACTTGTGTACCTCCATGTTAGAGTTGACATATAAACATTTCATCATAACTTTGAATAGTTGCCAAGAATATAATTTTATTAGAAATTCTGACATTTAAAAATAAAGTGATTATGTCTTTCTTTTAAATGTATTCAATGAAATACAAATACCATATGAATTAGAAACCTACAATTACTCATTTAAAAATATAGAAACTATTCTTCAAAAATATTGTACCAGCAATATAAGAAAGTGTTGTCTCTCCAAAATACTAATGCTGGATATTAAGAATTCTCAAAAACTTTGCCAATCTGATAGGTGAAAAAACAGCACCTTAAAGTTTAATTTGCAGCTGCCTAAAAATTAATGAAGCTTCATATTGTTTCAAATGCATTTACTGGCTATTTTTGTTTCTTCTATGAAATATCTATTCATATATTTTGCCCATGCCTGTATTAGCTTGTCTTTTTCCTATCAATTTGTAGGCATTCTTTATGTATTAGGAATATAAACCCTTTTTCTATTATGTGGTTGCAAATGCCTTCTCTTAGTAATTCATGTTGAAATTTTGTTTATGAACACAACACTTTAAATTGGAAGTTCTCTAACTTCAGTTTTACCCGAGGTTTTAACCTTCTTAGTGGTGGAGGATTAACTGTGGAGTTTACTTCTTGACTCAAAGGGTCAGATTGAGGTGGAGTTGCATGAAAAAGGCTTCCTGGGGGAAAGCTGGGAGGCAGCTGGCTCTTCAGGAGAAAACTAAATAAGACTTTTGTATGCATACAATTAAATTTCCTATTTCTCTCTAAAAAAAAAGAATGTGGTGTTAGGTGTGAAGGGCCCCCACCCATAAGATGGCAAACTCACCCCTCGCCCCCCCTAATCCCAGCACCTAGCCAATAGCCACCAGCCCCGTAGAAGTGACACCTCAATCAGCTCATGCCCCTTCCTATATAACCCAGCACCTCTCCCTAATAAAGCGGAATTCTCCGGTGAATTGCTGCTGTGTGTCACTCCTTTCATTTCAAGGTGAATCTGTGGGCTCTTTGCATCTTATCACAACTATGCTAATTTGGATATTGGACTTACAAAAAAGCAAACTGGATGGAATATACATTATGAAAATTTAATATAGAAATGGGCGAACATCTAAGAATGATTACATTTTCTTTAATGTATGAGTAAATTTAAATCATTTTGTTACTGGGTGATCATCAAAAACAGTGGAATGTGGTGTGCAACACTGTTTCTCTTTTTCAAAAAAACCTCAGACGAGTTTGTCCATCAGCTCTACCAGGGACTTTTTCATACACTAGACGTCTTTTTTTGAATTGTGGTAGTTGAGAGTGCATGAAATCTGTTAAAAGGAGAAAAAAGACTATTTTATTGCTGATAATAATCAAGTGTAGCTATTTTTTCCCCCAGCTTTTCAAGTGGATCCTGTTTGTTCATCATCTATCTACAAAGTGCTACAATTTCCAAATTGGAATAAAATAGTGACTATTAAAAATTACATTATTTAGTATAAATGTACCTGTACCTAATGGTCTAGGGCTAATTAATATTATGTACACATATTTGTATGCTTTTTCCTTGCACCAATAATTAAATCTCCCTGGATTTAGGACTCTTGATTTTAGTTTTTCCCCCATTAAGCATGCTCCTTAATCCATATCTGTAATGTTATTGAATTTACCCTGAGCTCGATAAATGATAGATGGTGATCATGTGTGGACTCACCTTATATGACTGTATTATATATGACATATTAACCTGAAAAGCCCTAGATTTGGATACTTACAGAGGTCGATAGATTAAATCAGCAAAAAAGGAGGTAAAAATTTTTTTTTAAGTTTTGTGAACCTTCCTGGGGACATAATCTCATAATTGCAAGAGTTGAATGCCATCATAAGCAAATTAATAAAGCAATACAGTAGGTAATTTTATAGAGATCACAAATACACACCTACAGGACAAATGGAAAATTATTTTGAGGTTATGCCAAGGTTAAGTTTTCTAGGTTAAGTTTTCTAGGGTACTCATTGTATCAGTATGCATTCTGGAAGTATTATATCTTAAACAATGTATCTGGAGGTAATGATGTGCTAAGAAAACCAGTAAATGTTGCCATTGTGATTATGAAGATGCTAACATCAAAGATTCATGTGAACTGTTGGAAAGTGAAAAAAAGCAGTATATCTAAGCCAACATTATTTACATATGATTAAAAATATATTTATAACTAAGTTAATGAATTAAAATGTAGGTAGACATTTGGCTAGTCCGTCTATATCCCTAACAGCTTAAATATTAACATTTATTTATTTATGAGATCTTTATTGAAAAGTGGGAGGATTATCTTGTACACTGAGTGCCCTGTGTTCAAGGATATATATAGTCATATGCATGCTTAGCTTATTCCAGGATGGAAAAAAGATGGAACTTTTCTCCAGTTCACTTATGAAGCAGGAATAACTTTCATATGAAAATATGACTGAGAACAAATAAACAACAGGTTAATTTCATCATGAAAGTAGAGATGAAAATCATAAATAAATATTAGCAATCCAACAGCCTATTCAAAGAATCACTCCTCAAAAACCAATTCGATTTATTACAGGAATGGCAAAAATGATTTAATATTAGTTAAACCTGTAAATATAATCCTTGACACTAATAGGTCGATGGAGAAAACATATTTGATTTTCCCCAATAGGTGTTAAAAAGAATTTGCATAAAATTCAGCATCTATTCCTCATGAAAGTTCTTACAAAGCTGTGGTTAGAATACTTCCCATTAAAATAAGGAACAAAACAAGTTATGATCATTAAATTGGACCAAATCCAAGTTTGTGAGTTCTGGAGCTTATACAGTTTGGGAATGCAAGGTTTTTTGAGCCCCTCTCAGGTCGCACAAAGGGTCACGCAAAAAGAGGAGTTTTGAAACTTAAGCTTCTTCCCTCCCTTGTACTCTCCTTAATGTTAAGGCTACATATGTAAGACCATTAGAACTTGATATTTTGTTCTAGAGGCTCAAGCCAAAGCAGTAAGAAATGACACAGAAAGAAAAGGTCTAATTACCAGAAATGAGAAAATTAAATTGTCCTTTTAAAAATTGATATGATTAAATGTTTGGAAACATCAATTGTAAAATAGAGCTAATAGGTAGTATTTGTTCAATGTCAGAATAAAATAACCTACATAAAAGGCCTAGAATGTCACCTGGTAAATAATAAGCTCTTAATAAATGTTAGGTCATTAAATATCTCTGCCTATAAAAGAGGCTAATTTTCTAATTCACCGATTTTTCTTTTTAGTCTTTGTTAATTTTAGTCTTCTGCTGTACTTAGATTTGTTCTGTGTTTTTATTTTTAACTTAACTTGAATGCTTCACTCATCTAAAGGTACAATAATTTGATTAACTTACCTCATCTAAAGGTACAATAATTTGATATATTTTATTTGCATTTATTTTCTTAGAAGTCTATAATTAGGATTTTGATTTTCTGTTTGAAATTAAAGTGTAGTAATTAAGCATCTTAAAATTTTTTTTCTGAGATGATTATATATTTTAAAACTATATTTAAGCATAGTTTTATCAACTATTGGATGGTGTTACCTGTTAATGATTTCTTGTCTCCTGAGTCAGATGAAGATTCAGAGGGCCTTTTCTGTCCTAAACTTTTTCCAGCTTTTTGGTGGAAATAAAGACTGTTGAATTCTTTTTGATTTATGTTAGAATCAGAAGCACAAAATAGATCCAAACTGGGGACAGACGGTAATTCTCTACAGAAAGTCTTTTCAGTCCCAGCACTTGAACTTTCATGTATGAAGCTGTCTGAATCAACTGATAGACATTTTTGCTGATTAGTGAATAAGTTATCTTTCTGAGAGTACCGTTTGTCACTTGTAGTCTGCTTTGCGCCATACTGTAAATTGAATAAGTGATTCTGTTGTTCCCACACATTTTTCTTGAAGTTCCAGTGAAGAGGAGATTGTGAGCCCTCTAATGAAAAGATAGGGGCAGATACTTCTTTATTTATAGGTCCTTTTGCTTCAAATGTTCCCTTTTTCTGACAGTTTTTAAAATTAGGGGCAAATTTCTTCTGAGTATCAATTGGTGATATTATGGTTTCACAATTCATTTGTGTTAGACCCAAAGAAAATACATCTGTCAGTGGCTCATTCTTGTTTAGAAAGGAGTTACCTTTTGCATTTCTTGATTCTGTATTTCTTAGGAAAAGATTATTCTGCACTATGATACGGTTACAACTGGAGTCTTCCTGGTGGTTAATCTGATTGTAAGAAGTCACAGGTGGTAAAATGCCTGGCATTTCTCTGAGTTCCATAAGGGAAGAGTTGTACTTTGAAGTGGTATTTGTATCTTCATGCACTGTCCCTCCTAAGTCTGAATACTGGAAATAGTCATTTTGTTCTTGAATGGCAGAGTTCGAAAAACCAGAAGCTGAACTCTGAGAAGTAAAGGTACTAGTCTGAGTCCTACTTTCCTGAGGTGATGACATTTGAGGTGATTTTGTTATTGAAGAAGAATTAATCTTGAATAAGGAAGTGATGCTACAAAAATCCTAAAAATTTTTTAAAACAATAAAACACAAATACAATATAAACATTAATCAAGTAAATATAAGTAATGATGTTTATCTAAATAGAAAGAGGCAAATGTAAATAAGTAGTCCATACTTAGGTATTATACTGATCCATGCAATAAGAACATAATATATTTAGGTTCCATTAAAGGAAAAACTTATTGTAATTTGCATCTATTTTCTAGTCACTTATAGTAGAATTTTTAGTTAAACAAGTTATATGTGAATACCATTTCCTTGACCAAAGTTTAAAATTTTTACCAATAAGGCTAAAACTCTCCTTACTACAATAATGAAGGGTGTCAGAATTGCTTGGAAGAGATAATGTTAAGCACGTATGAATAGAGTATATAATTGAATACTTGTAGGCACATTAATATTTCAAAAAGATTTAAAGTGTGATAAACTGACTATTGAATTATCTATATAAGATAGACTTAAAATGTATGTGATTGACAGCCAGTGAGAATTATACATGAAATTCAGTTCAAGTAAATTATTTCTTTGCTATGTGAAGCCCAATACAATTACACTTGGATCCTCTCATTTTGAAAACTCTTATGGTAAAAATAGACCCTCAAATGGAAAGGAAATGAACTCATACAAGAATATGGATCTCAAATAACTAACCTTTAGCACTTTTTCTGGAACTTCAGGTAGGAGTTCCTGGAGTTGACAAAGAGTTGCTAATAATATCCAGTGTAGTGAAGGTCCTTTATTCAACATGAGCTGAGCCACCAATGGGTTAATACATGGAAAATCAAGTAAGTACATCTCTTCCTAGAAAAGAGTTGAAGGAATAATCAGCCAGTGGTCTTTTGGAAGTGATCCATTTTATTCTACTCACTCTAGCAGATTAAAATTTTTGCCATTGCACCTGACCCTCAATTTGAGATGCCTGGAAAAAAAGTACAGCCAGGAGGGAAAGAAATTTTTTTGGCAGTAAAGATTCATACAATCACAAAAGTGGGAAGGATCTTCAAGTTCATAGTCAGTCTAATCACTCATGCGAAAAATTCATTAGACTTCGCCTCCTTCAAATGACAATTGCTTTATCTAATGATAAATTTTACTGAGAAACGTTTTAGGGGACTTAGTTATATACCTCAAGATTTCTTTAGTTCTCTGGAGTTCTTTGTAAACTCTGTACGATCACTGTTTGATTAGGATGGACCATGCTTGGGGTATCTAACAGACTATAATTTCAGGAAAGCCTTATGAAGAGTAGAGGGAGAACTTCTATCAACCAGAACTGACTCTGGCAATCTGAAAATGTTTTCAGAGAGATCTCATAAAAATAAATATATGGAAGCCATTTTTACTATAGCTACATTCCCCCTTTTTCTCGGTTACACTGGCTTTTTGCATCCTTTTGGTTTTATCAAATGACAGGCTGTGAGTAGAGCAGACATGACCTCGTTAGGAGGAAATTGCACACAAATACATATAACATCAACATTAATTATACCTATACTAGCTGGTAGTACTATGTACTATTTAGGCATATAAAAAAGTTCTGTGACTTAATATATATGAATATTTTATTTATGTTTTATGATTTTATTTTTTTTGAATTGGTAAAAGAATCACATGGCTCAAAATTCAAAACATACTAAAAGGTATACAGTGAAAATTTCCATTCCCACCTCATTACCACCATTTTCCTCCCGTGACATAACCAATGTTATAATTTCTTGGTATCCTTCCAGACATATTTTATTCATTTATAAACAAATACATGTAAATATTAATTTCCCCTAGTTTTACACAAATGGTAGTATAGTGCATGCTCAGTGTTACAACTTCCACTTTTCACTTAATATATTGAAGATCATTTCATGTTAGAACATAAAGAGCTTCATCCTTTTTTTATGGCTTCATGATTTGAGTACCTTTAAAAATAAAAGCAAAAGGCCAACATGGCGGCGTGAGTAGGAGGGTGGGAATCTCCTCCCAAAAACATATATATTTTTGAAAATACAACAAATACAACTAATCCTAAAAGAGAGACCAGAAGACACAGGACAACAGCCAGACTACACGCACACGTGTGAGAGCCCAGCGCCTGGTGAAAGCGGTGAGATACAACCACCGGCCCAGCGGGACCCAAGCACACCTCCCCCCAGCTCCCAGTGGGAGGGAGATGGAGCCCAGGACTGCTAAACACCCAGCCGCAGCCACCTGCACCAGAGCGCAGACACAGTGCATGCGAGGAGGGCTGGAAACTAGGGAAATATGGCAGCAAGACCTCTGAGTGGGTTCTGAAGCTGATGCCCCTGTGACAAAGAAAAGCGAGTGCTTTTTGAAAG